CATTAACAATAATGAAAATAATAGTAATATTAAAAAAAGAATAACAATAGTAATAATAACAATAACAATAACAATAATAATAATAATAATAATAATAATAATTTTACCCTTAAAATCAAATGTATGGTTTTTTTTGTGGCAATATTTTTTTTCAAATTTATTAATAATAATATTAAACATGTTTACTCAAAATTTAAGCGAGTGTAGCAACCATGTAAGACCCATGTTAGTTGAGTTTGCTAGACAAAGATGACTGGCCCATGTTGGTTGGGACTAGCAAGCTTGGCATACCCATCGTGGTTAGGTCTGGCAAGTATATCAAATCCAAATGTCTTAGATCCGGTAACCACGTTAGACCCAGGGCTCGTTGTGAGTGCAAATCAAAATTTCTTGGGTCTAACAAATATATCAGATTCTCGTTGTTTAGATCTAGCAATCCTGCCACACCCACCTTGGTTGAGAGCTTGCCTTGGTAAACCGATAACAAATATATCAGATTCTCGTTGTTTAGGTCTAGCCATATCAGATTGGTTGAGAGCTTGCCTTGGTAAACCGGGATGTCTTGAATTTGATAACCATATCAGATTCACGTTGTCTGGGTCTACAAGCTTGCTAAACCCATCGTGGTTAGATCATGCTAAAATATTAAACCCATGTTACTTGATTACAACAACCTAGCGTGTTTAAGATTCACGTCTTTAGAATTAAAAAAAGAAGAAGCATGATTGCCTCAATCAATCTCAAACGCAAAATCCACTCGCAGTTTCCTGAATCTGAAAAAATTTAAAAAATAATTAAAATAAATAACCTAGTGCAATAACATAGTATCTATACGAACCCAACATATTGACAAATTATTTATATTTGCCTAGAATGAAGAGAAACAACAAAGAAACTATTGTCATCCCGTGTAAAATCAACCAAAATCTCATTCAACTACACTAGATCAACACTCTCCCAATAACAAGCACGCAATCGGGTACATCACAAATAAAACCTGTATTTAATTACCAGCTCCTTCACATTGAATAAATCAGGAGAATGACAATCTACCAAACACATGCTAGCAACAAACAACCCAGCAACCCACAACATGTCATGCACATCATGAAAAATAGTAAAAAATAAATTGTTTACAACTTATCACAAGAACCAACTAATTCCTCCCCAATAAATAGTACTTCAATCCACAATGAAAATACTCACAATCTATAGTAGATGACTTTGCTCATTTAGTTTTTTTTTCAATGAGCATTTATTTATAATACAACACCACAACCAATTTATTTTATTTGAAAAGTTATAATTCTTGAGCTAAATCTTGAAAAGTTTTCTTGCACTAGTCTTATGAATTAAAGTGTCATGACTTTAGGCTTATTTTCTAGATGGTTGAAGCTCCATCTTCATGAATTTCCTTTTATTTTTTTATAAAAAATAATTCACCAGTTATTTTGTTTCCTCGATGGATTCTTCAGTAAAGTTTTTTTTGGCTTCTAGCATTCTAAAAAACTATGTAATAAAATAATACATTGCAAGATTATCTTAAAAAATAACACAGTTTAGAGAATCGCAGATAACATATGTGATTTAAGAGTCATGTGACTCTTTCAAATTGTAAATTTTGAAAGACACATGATGTAATTAAGAGAAAAGAGAGAAGAGAGAGAAAAAAGAAAGATAGAAAGGAAAGGGCTTTAAAGACACATCAAAATTCTGATTACAGTATCATCGATACCATTAAAAATTTGTTGGCGAGATGACTCTAACAACACTAAGAAAAAGTCACCAACAGTGATTGCAATGGGTCACACTAGTGGTCTAAAAGTAAGCGAGTTTTGACACCTTTGGATGACTTATGTGAGTTACTTTATTTATCGTTTGTGACCTTCTTTGTTACTAGACTCATCTCGTTGAGATCTTTTCAACGGAATTAATGGTATCATCATCGAAGTTTCGGTATGCCTCCAAGATTTTTCTCTTTCTTTATTTGTTTTTTCTCTTCTCTCTCCTCCTTGTAATTTGTGAATAAGGAGGATGGAGAAAAAAGTAAAAATAAAATAAAGAGACCCTAGAGTCATTCTGAAACTCCAATAATGACACCACTAATACTATTTTGAAAGAATTCAATAAGACAAGTCTAACGATATAAAATAAGATCACTAACAATAAATAGAATGGGCTACACGAGCTGTCTAGATGTGTCAAGGCTCACTTGCCTGTGGGCTGCTTGTGTGACTTACTTCAGTCACCATTGATGATTTTCTTTGATGTCGTTAGATTTATCTCATTGATATATTTACAATGATATCAATGATATCATCATCAGAGTTTTAGTGTGATCCTAATGTATTTTTCTTTCTTTTTTTTTCCTATTTTTACTCTCTCCTTATTAAATGCTATGTTTTTCAAATCTTGCAATTTAAAAAAGTTTTTAGATAATATTTGTGACTCTTAAATTACATATATTAAATGTAATTCTCTAAACTATATTATTTTTCTAAATATTTTTTGCACTTTATTATTTTATCATTTTTTTTTAGCATGCTAGTGTCCAAAAATTCTCTTCTTCAGCAGCCTATAGAAATCCCAACAAGTTGGAAAGTCAAAAAAGGCTAAAAAGAAAAAACAAATGGAAAGAAAATCTCCTATGGATACAAGACAAGCTGTCGTTTGCTACTTCAATCCCAAAAACACCCTCCGTTGATTTCATGGCCACCTATAGGTCATTGTCGCATTAGCCACCAACCAGCACGGAACTCAGCTATCTCCACAGCAGCAACACTGCAGGAAGCAGCACCTCCAGATGGGGCAAGAAGGCAAAAGAATATTAATAGCTTGGCATTGCGGTAAAAATGTATCTAACCATGTTGCAAAAATACATTTGGTTTTAAAAAATATTAATTTTTTGTGTTTTTTTATTGTTTTACTATAATGTCAAAAATTAAAAAATCTATTTTTTTTTAATTTTAATATATTTTAAAATACTAAAACATTTTTAAAAAGCACATAAAAACATGAGCTATCATACTCTCAAACAAAAAGAATTAGACTTTATTTATTCATATAATGCGATGTGGTTCAATTTCTGTTTTACTCTGATTTTATTAAAATATTTAGTTAATTAATATATATTATAGTTTTATAAAAATCATACTAAAAATTATCTCATAAAAAATTAGTTAAGAAAAATTTATGAACGTCATGCTTATTTTTTAAAATATTTTAAACTATATTAAAATAATATATATTTTTTATTTTTTTAAAATATTTTTGATATTAATACATTATTGATGATAAAAAAACACCATAAAAAATTAATTTGAAAAACAAAATCAATTTTTTTTTTGAAAACAACATTTTCAACATAATAATAAACATATTCTATAGTTTATAGCTTATTATAAAAGTCACGACAATACCAAGCATAAACTTAAAAATAAACAACACGGTTGTATCTGATTTGGGATATAATTAAAAAAAAAAATGCTTCAATTAGAGGGTCAATTTACAAGTACAGAGTGAATCCATGAATACAGAAGTAATATGAACAAACTATTTTTATTAAAATAATTAAAAGCTTATATCGTTAATTTTATCATTATGTTAATTTGAAAGTATCAAGTCAACTCACATGTATCAAAGATATTTTTATTAAAGTAACAATATTTAATTTTTCTCTCTTATATATCAATTCATATTTAATTTGATTTAATTAAAAATTCAACCTAATTAAAATCCATTTTAGAGTTTATTTAATACGTGTTTATTATTATAGTGTATGAGATTTAAAAGTTTATTTAATACGTGTTTATTATTATAGTTTATGAGATTTTTAAAAATACTTTTACTTAAAAATATATTAGTTTGAGTTTGTTTTTATTATTTTTATCATTAATATATTAAAATTATTTAAAAAATATTAATTTTATATTTTTAAAACTAAATACACATTTGAAATTCAATTCTAATCGCAAAAACAAAATATGACTAATCAACCCGGCACGGCCAAGAGCTATGAATATAGCCTTATTGTACAATGCTTACCATTCAACAATTCCGCTCAGTAATCACAGGCCGCGTGTACATATTCCACCATGATGTGTAAACTACAAATCAGTCCTCCAACAATGTTAGATTATTCATACCACTACTTTTCTTACCATCTCATGATCCAGCCCAACAACCGATGATCTAATAACTATTTCCCTTGATCATTCCGGATTCATTAATTAATAATAGAAGAAAGTGAGAAGACTTATTATTACAAATACAATTATTAGTAATTTAATGATAATTTTTAAAATTATCTTATAGTTTATTAAAATTATATCAATTAACCAAAAGATTAAATTGATATTAAATAAATTTGTTCTTTGTGAACTATTGAATTTATTACACTATAACACAAATTTATATTATGTCATTTTAAGCAAAATTTTAATCTTAAAATAATTAGATGGTATTTAACTTATGGAAAGATTTGTTGGCCAACTTTATTTGTATATTATAAAATAGAGTCAGTTATTTTAATAAACTAAATTAACAAATTCATCACAGTTTCTTTTTATGAAATAAAATTCAATTAGAGATTCAAATTAATAGATAAACAACAATCTAATTAATGTTTTAAAACCTAACCTAACAAATTAACTAATGACTTGAGTGATTCAATATCTATGAGTTGAGTTTTAACAAAAATAAAAAGAATTGACTTAATATAACTCTGTAAAAAATTTAGGTTAGTTAAGATTTAGTTAGCTTAAGAAAAAAAATCACCCGTTTAATTTTTTTTTATTTTTTAAATTTTTTTATAAAATAAAAAATCAAATTAACCCTCTCATAACCTAATATTTTTCCTGGCTGAGTTTAAAATTAAAAGTCTAATAGCAAGATTGAAAAAAGTTTTGGCTTTAGGACTGAATTGAAACATTCTTCATAGATGGATGATAATTTGTCATAAGCACCGAACAAAAGAAGAAAGATACAAGGATGTCCAGAAGGGGAAGCATAGGCTGACAGACTTAGGTGTGCAAAACAAAATTGAGAAGGAAACAAAGGAAGACCAAACTTCATCAATCAATCTCTCTTTAACTTTCCATTTTTTTTTCAGACCAAAATGTGAAGAAATCAAGATCCAAGAATAAATCCAAAGACAACACAAGAAGAAAACGCAGAGAGCATCAAACACCACTGGAAGGAATTAAAAAGTTTGCTTCTTTATTATTGTTCCGTGTAAAGTTTTAATTTTTATTCGACATTGTTGTTGTCTTAGTGGTTGTTTTTGACGGGTTGTTTTTGTTTTCTCCGTAGTTATCTTGAGGTGGGTTCTGTGTCTTTTAGTTTAGCCTTGAGTCTTTGTATTTTTGTAGCTCTAAAAATGGTTTCTTTGTTGTGTTTTTCTCATGCTTTGTAGCTGATTTTGAGGTTTGTTAGAGAGCAAAATCATGGTTGTTGGAGATAATGCTAGTGTTGATTTGGGGAATATTAGCGTGGACTCAAATGTTTCATCGTCATCATCATCATCATCATCAAATGATCAGGATCATCACAATCACAACAACAATGCTCTGATTCAGCCTCTGTACATGAAGGTTTCCCAGATGGGCCATCACCAGGCTCATCACCATGATCATCATCATCAACAGAGATCAGATGGCGGGGAGAGTTACAAGAGGGAGATTAGAGAGTTGCAGGAGTTATTCTCTAAGTTAAACCCCATGGCTGCTGAGTTTGTGCCTCCTTCACATTCCAACAACAACAATTTTGGTAGAGTTAATGGGCTTAATGGATTCAATGGAGTTAACGGGGGATTTTATGGCAACAACCATATCAGCAGCAGCAGCAGCAGCACCAACAACAACCTCAACTTGGCTGTGAATGGAAATGGCTTCGACAGAAGTGGACAAGTTAGTGGAAATGCTGCTAGAAGGGTAAAAAAAAAAATTGATGCTTTTTTTTTAATCAACCAAGTATATTTTATTACAAATTTCAGAAACAGAAAAAGGAGTAAATTTTGAATGTTTTTGGTATAGTGTTTTTTTTTTTTTTTTAGAGAATCGACAAGGGTTAATTGAACTAGGCCAAGGGGTATGCGAGTCTAAGTTTTGAAAATGATGGAACTTTGAGATTCAAGAGCCTGTTCTATGTTGGTTTTTATTTGTTTAGATGGGTTTTTATTGGACTTGGATTGGATATTTTGAGCATGAAATACAGAGATGGAATCTTGTGCTTCGTGGTGTTGGGATATTTGAAATGAAAAAAGCAAATGCAACTGGGTTTGTTATTTTGATTGCTTAGATTGACTGAAGGTTATTGCTCACATGTGTCTAAAATGGTCAAATTAAACAAAAAAATAAATTTGATGAGCATTTTTATTTGATTTTAATGAATTTTTATTATCCTTTCAGGTTAGTGAACTTTAATGGGCTTTAATTTAATGCCTATGAATTCTAGGATTTTTTGATCATATGTTTGCTCGTTTCAGAAGAAAAGTTATGGTCAGGTGAAACGTAGAATCAGTAGCAGGACAAGTATGGCTCAACAGGAGGAGATAGTTCGCAGGACTGTGTATGTCTCTGACATTGATCAACAGGTATATGCTTCTGTGTGATTGCTCTTCTTTTGATTTCTATGGCGGTTTCTGACTGCATCATCTGTTTGCGCTAACTAATTTTTTGGCTTCTTTTATGGAATTAGGTCACTGAAGAGCAACTAGCAGCTCTATTTATTAATTGTGGACAGGTAGTGCTAATCTAGTTTCTTATCTAGACAGCTTTTGTAGAACTGTACTTTTGAACAAGTTCCTGTCTCATCTGCAGGTTGTTGACTGTCGTATCTGTGGTGATCCCAAATCTGTACTTCGTTTTGCCTTTATTGAGTTCACTGATGAGGGTAATGTTAATTTTATGTGCTATATTGATTCAATGCCTACCTTAGAATTCCATCATGTGTGTGTGTGTGATGGTTATATGCTTAATTACTCTGTGGTGGTTGGATATACAGAAGGTGCTCAGGCTGCCTTGAGTCTGTCTGGGACAATGCTTGGATACTACCCTGTGAAAGTGCTGCCCTCCAAAACAGCTATTGCACCAGTTAATCCAACCTTTTTGCCCAGGGTGAGGATGCTTTGCTATATGGCCATTGAATCATGTCATGTTTCTTACAATAGGCATTTATGTGTTAGTTTGATTCTATTTATCTTGCTGATCAATTGGTACTTTGGATTTTAGAATGATGATGAGCGTGAAATGTGCGCAAGAACTATCTACTGTACAAATATTGATAGGAACGTGAGTATTTGGATTATTCATCATAAAACATTACCTTTTTTTTCCATGAGAAATATTGTAATTGATGTTCTTTTCATAGTCTAATACGCTTAACATTCCGCAGCTTACTCAAGCAAATATTAAACTCTTTTTTGAATCACTCTGCGGAGAGGTTTGTTATTACAACTTGTGAGCTTGAAAGTTCTTTTTTTCTGGATTTTACACCATTATTAGCAGGTTATTTTATGGTCCGGCTTGTCTGATGCAGGTGTATCGCCTGAGGCTGCTGGGAGATCATCATCATCCTACTCGTATTGCTTTTGTGGAGTTTGTTATGGTAATTGCTTCATACTCTAATGCTGAACTTTCACTCTCTTTCAATATCAAACAAATATAGGTGGAGCTTAGGGAATCATTTGGCAAGGTAATAAGGATTCTAGGGGACTAGGTTGGTTTGATGGGGGACTCTATGCTCTTGCACATCCTGAAAGGGACACAGGGCTAATTATGAGTGATGTAGTGGTGTCAAGTGTCGACTTTTTGAGGCAGGTGGTTTAGGATTCCCTTTAGTAATTTCCCTTTGAACAAACCTTTTTTAATTGCCAGAGAGCTAACAAATGACGACTTAAGGCTGTTCCTTTGACTTTTCACCCATCTAGCACACAATGGTAGGCCAAGGTTCTTATTGCTATTAATATTTTAATTCCTGCTAAAGATTAGAAGTTCTGAGCACAAAAGAACTGACAAAGCTGCTGAACTTTCTAGATACATGTAATGGAGCTTCATCATCAAGAAGCATTTTGACACAATAACAAAGTTCACAAGAATTGGAATTTTAATTTTCTTGTAACTGCCAAGAGTGACATGCATCAAAGTGAAATTACATAAATTTTCTTTATCAGAGATAGTTGATTTTTTTGCTATTCATAAATGATAGTTGATAATATTGTGCTATTTCTACTTTTTTTTTCTATTGCAGATTGCTTAAAAATCATAATTATGAGTTGTAAGATGAAGGAATCTTTAATAAATAACTGTTTGAGTAATAATTTGGATGACCATTATTATGGAGAACAGGTGTCATGCTGGAGAGACTCTAATGCAAGTTAGGAAGTGAGTTCTTTACAGTAAATCAAGAGAAATTGTAGACATAGGAACGCCTTGGAGCCTCTAAATGAAAACAAACAAGAAAACTATATTCCTTAAAATGAATAACTACCATTGAACCATTTATTGTGGAATTTAGCAGATGTCCAACAAACAATCTGAGATGGATCTTTGACTTGTGATGGTGCAGTCACACTCAACAAACCTAGGATTATCTATGCCTAAAAACATCTCTAGAGTGGCTAGGTTTGTTCATAAGATAACAAGATTCCTCAAATGGTTTCTAGAAATATACTCCATTCTCCAGGATTATTAAGGAAGAAACAGTTTTTATCATGTTCACTTTTAATAAAACATCAATATACATCTAGGATTACTTATCATCAAGAATTACATCTCAGAATCCATGCCCCGTAATGTGTTTTAAACTTTATTGTAGACCTTTTGATTCAGAGATTTTCTTTCTAATTTTACTCTACTTTGATCTTTTATAAATTGTCTCAACAAACCAAAACCCAATGGAATTACGATGGTATATAAATGATCCCATTGTATTGGTCACAAAAATCAATTTTGTACATAAAACTACATAATTGTGCTAATTATTATCGAGTACTTTTTATAGCTTAACCCCAAATAGATCATTACTTTTAAGTGGCACTAATGCTTTATGGTAACAAGCTCCATGGTTGACTTATTGGCTGTGTGCAGTCCATGTATCTAGTAGATACTATCTATCCTCTGTTTGTACAGGCAGTGTTGCAATCTGAAATTGTTGGTGCTTAGCTTATCTACTTTTATTCTCTTTACTCTTCAAATGAAAAGAACTTCCTTTATGGGATGTGGACTCAATATAAACCCTTCCACTATCACTCATCTCGATCAGGTTTTATGTTAGTCTGTATGAAAGCCTTCAGTAACCAACATTTTCTGACTGTTTCTTATCGCATAAGAGAATACTTCTGCTGTGTGTAATTATCAAACTCTTGCTATTACATTGGCTATCATAAAGGCATGTTGTTACATCTCTCACCACTGTCTTAGAAATGTTTCCAAATTACTGCACTTTCATGCAAAGATGTTATTAGTTAACATGGTATTTACTCTGAAACTCATGGATGTGTGGGGTCATCAGTAATAGTAGCAGTCAGCATAGTTGGGCCCATAAAAGCAACTGTTGATGCCCTGATTTGCCATGGCGTGTGCTAGTATTTGCAGAAATACATGTTTAAATTGCATTATCATCTGATAAGCTGGGAAGATTTCGTCTGAACTATCAACAATTATCACAGATGATACTTTTAGTGACTGAAGTGATAGTGGTGCTTCCTGTAGTTTTAAGATGGTTGCAGGATATTTTTGCAAGTACTTTTACATGTGCACGTGCATTTTTCTGTTATAACGTAGTTATCTTTTATGCACTGTTTTTGTTATTGTCTGCCTTTCTATGCTTTACTGGCTAAGATATTATCCAGTGTCAGAATGAATTCATGTTTTATTAGTGATATGTTGACTCATTTTGTGTTCCTGTAAATTCGCTATGCAGGCTGAAAGTGCAATAGCTGCTCTCAACTGTAGTGGTGTGGTTCTGGGTTCATTGCCGATAAGGTAAGATTGCAAGCCGTACATCTTCCCTAAGAATTGTCAATTTTTATGACTGAGAAGAACTAATAAATGCTTTGGCTAACCTTTGATGTTCTCTATTTTCAGGGTGAGTCCATCAAAGACACCTGTGCGACCACGTGGTCCTCGCATGACCATGCTTTGAAGTGTTCGATGCTCAAACTGACTTTAAAGTCGGCTTTTATATATTTAGATACGTACAACACACCAATGTAAAGATGTTCCCCTTGTTTTATATACCTTCATGTCACCATCCTTGCCTCATCGGGTTAAATCTCTATTATCATAGGATTTATCTTTCGGTTATTGTAGCAATATATAGAGTTGGATGGAACTTCGAGGCTCTACTCTATTATGGATTGGACTTGCCCTGAAGTTTGAACCTCTCCAAGCAGTTTCTGACTTCATCTAGTGATATTTTAGATGGCTCTTTTCAGTTGATTGGGTTGTGCTCAAATGTTTCAGTTCTTTTTTCCTAATTATTCCTGCCTTATGTCCACTCAAATAGCTGTACGTGTTCATATTGAACCTTATTTCTGAGGTAATAGAAGTTGCTATGTTAATCCAACAATCATTTCAGAGGGTGGCAAGATCTGATAATTATGAAAACTGCAGTTTTTCCGCCAATTCATGAAAACAACTCTAATGAAATTGTTATTGACAGAAATTAATAAATGAATTACGATTTTCTCGCATGACAAATGTTAAATAAACAACTTGCTCCCATTTATTTGTATTAAAGTTCTTGCCTGTTAGACCTCAAACGTGCAGGAGACATCTCAGTGCCTTCCCATCACCGAGCAGCTGGAACGCTTCATTTATCTTCTCAAACGGAAGTTCATGCGTGATGAACCCATCTAGATTCACAACCTGGAAACAAAATAAAGCATGCTTGTAACGAAAGTCGATGATTTTGTTCTCCTCAAATATCTATGTACGAACCACTCGCTTGCTAATGAACATATTGCAAACACATGTAGAATAGAAATTTGATGGGTTAAACTAACCCCGTTCGTGCAGGCTTTGGCAAGTTCAGGAAGTTGGCTCTTTCCCTTGCA